TTTTCTGCGCAGTCTCCGTCTTCTTCCTGAAAGTGTCTGACGATCCTTAAAGGCGGCGCCTATACGCTTGATCTCTATCGCAAGATTCCTAATCGCTAGGCCATCCAATAGAAGTGATCCATCACTGGCCGTCTAAGGTCAGCCCATGTGGTCTATTATCCGTGGACGAGATGGACTTGCCCGACTTCTGCACGCGTTTGCGAGCGAAACAGCGGACCACATGCGACAATTTAACTAATTAACTAATAACGTCGGCTGCTACGAAAGATGACGAGTTTTCAGAATGGCATCTTGCACAGCCGCAGTTCATGGGGGGAATAAAAGGTTCGACTCCGGCCGAGTACAGTTTTCTTATTTGGTTATACTTTTTGTCTTATGTATTTAGGACAACGTAATCGCAACACTCTAATTAGATTAGATTTTTCTGGTAGTTTTTAAAGTCCTTTAGCATATTACAATAATCACGAGTAGTATTATTCGGCTGAAATTTCATGCGTTGCACTCTTTCAGTAACTATTCTGAAACGATGAAAACTGCATGATAATGGCAATAATTTCTTTTTTTTTTCTTTTGATTTATGATTACAATAAGAAACTTTGCTGTTTTTGTGTGTGAACGTTTCCTACAATTATGTCAATACACGTATAAGCAGATAAGGAAAGCTATCTTCATTGCAACAATGGCACTATAAGCATAAGAGAACTTTGCTTCGAGACTGCAGATAAAATTCTTCTTCTGAAGCTTCAGTTTTAATTGTGAAAAAATTCTGGTTTTACCTTTAATTAGCGATATCGCACCGTACGAGTGGTTTTATGGTTCAGAATAATTCTTCTGGTATGACAGGATTGTGCTCAAAATTTTGGGATCTACTCGTAATGCACTTGACTATTTGCATCCGTTTAAAATTCCTCTCTGATCACAAACAATTTTCTAAATTACTTTTGCATATTTTAGGAATTTTTACAACAATGGAAAACAAAAAAAACAAAGAAAATGTGATATAACTCCATCATGTTATTTATGGTTTTAATAAAGGTAAAGTATGCTAACATTTTTAATGTTTGCAAGAGAGCTTAACAAGATAATAGGTAGGGTTTACTTTTCTAAGAATTTGTTAGCTATGTTGCAAAGCTTTTTAAACATCTCTCTAAGCTTGAAGAACGATAGAAGGGTAGAATAATGTAAAACTTAATCACATTGTTAACCAATCCATAATACAATGTCATTGAGCTCAAAAATGATTATATGATAGCAACGGGGCATTGGTTCATTTTAAGTTAAGAGCTATTAAATGAACTGAACAAATTCAGGCGAAATTTAAAACAAGGTTTTAAAACTGTTAGAAATTCTTTCATCGATTCTAAGATCTTTTTCTTACAATCTCGTGTTACCCTTATATGCACCGACTTCAGTGAACGGAACAGGTTACGTGCATAAATTAAAAAGGTCTTAGGATTTTTCGAATTTCAAATTTTTCTTATGGTTGAAGAACTGTATACGGAAGTATTGCCTCTTTCGTCATAGAAGTGAAAAACAAAAGCTACAGAGTCCTTTGATTCTAGTCTATAAGAAAAGTAATGCTTCGACTTTTTAATGCGACTAATTAATAAACCTATTCGATAAAGCAGATAACACTCCGTCATTACCACATAGTGAAAATGTGCAATAGTTCATGCAATTTCCAAGTTGAAGCCAAGAATTTAGCACATAAGTACGAGCAATGCGGCGTTAAATACCGTCACAGTTTCTTTGCACTAAACAGTAACGTAAACGTTGCCGCAATGAAATTCTACAACATGAACATAATTCAGTATCGGTGGTTGTTAATTGTATTGTGCGAGAGAGAAAGCATAATCATGTGAACTCTTCTGGCCATCTATAATAAAGATTGGCAGGCAAAGATTGATTGGCATAGTAATCGCCTGTAATATGCTTTATGCTAAAGTCTGCCGTGTGCCTTCCTAATTAAACCTAATTGTTTGCAGGCAAAGTTTTCAAACGTAAATAGTTTTTCATAAGACACATATTTGTCACAGTTTATTAGACAATAGCTGTGCGCCTTTTAGGTACACAACCCAAGGCACAATTGTGAATAGTTTGAAAAGTTAGACAAAAGCCTTAGGATTAAAACACAGCTATTATAAAAAAGTCCTCCTTTCTTCCTTGTAGCACTGTACTTACACTTTTTCCAAAAACTTTCTATTCAAATAATACGCATGAGTAGCCGAGTATGTAAAAATTACGACTGCCATGTCAGTGTTCGCGGAATAAAATTTCAAGTGCGGTAAAGTTTACTTTTGTCGCAGCAATAGTAAGCCGGTAAGTTTAGTCGGTAAAGGCGTAGCACTTGCCGAGTGGGCGTACACCTACTAGACTCTGGCCTTCTTTCTTTAGCTTTTGACTTTTCAATCTTATCCCTTAACTCCTCTGACCGTTGCCTTGTTAATCGCATAGTAGACAAGCCTTAAATGATTGGTCATAATTAAGAAAAAAGAAATGAAGGAAAAAAATTTGCTCGCATTAACTAGCAGCAAAGCTTTTTCAGCAAAGTTAGTGTCCTGCAGGTTCTTTTTATTTCTTGCATTACAAAGTGCAATTGCATGAGGTTTCCAAGGGAATCGCCTTATATTTAAGTACTATTTTCCTTTCATTCATTGTTAAAATTTTAAATTCAAAAATTTTCCGAACCTATGGACTCATGTATAACACAAAATGTCCAAAAATTTTATGCATACAACCACTTGTTAATCGTCGCCAATTATTTTTGCACGACTTCCTTCTGTTGTATCATTTAAACCGTATCGTCATCTCATCATCTTACAAACGCTAAAGTGTATTTAATTTTGCATTTCGTTTGCAGCATGCGGACATCCAACGTAGTATACTTTCGCCTGGCAACACACACAGATCTCAAAAATTGAATATGTTTACTGAATAACTTTATTGAAACCTGGATTAGAATTCGCAAAATCTCAGCTTTGAAGGTAAGCTGCTGTAAGTGAAATCCCCCTTCCTATTACAAGGACACTGAATATCTGCAAAACGATCTCATTCACTAAGTTACATATTATGTAAACTACTTATGTGAAATATTGAACAGTGACATTGGCATAATGTTTGTGTAAGAAAGACGAGATAAATGAATTGAACAATGAGTTCACGTTTAATATTAACAAAGTATCTTGTATTTTCTGTAGGCGACGGGTGACAAAGATTCGCCCCAAAAGCTCATAAGGCCGTTTTACTTTTTGCGATTTGCCTTTTATTCCGCATCATTTTTGCAGATAATTTGCATGCGCATACAATTTGTTGTTACTGTTAAGCCTTGAGTTGTTAACAACGTGTTAAAACGACACAATCAGAAATTAAAGTCATATGGAAAAAGTTTTTTTTCCGGTCCATCGTTCTCTTCATATATTTATTTAAAAGACATTTTTGTATTTGTTACAACGTTACAATGTTGCAATTAAATAAGAACTGCGTGTGTATGCGTCGATATGTTCTTTTTTCTTTTTTTTTTTTTTTGTTTTAATGTCGACAATAATGACGTTGATTACTTCAAAAAAAAAAAAAAAAACATTAAAAATTAAAATAATTGCTACAAACTGTTGTTGTGACAGACGTATAAAAGAAATTTTATATGATTAAACTCAAACGTAAAAAAAAAAGAAAACAAAATGAAAAAATTGCAATAAATTGCATTAACATTAATAGGGTTCTTAATTGTCACTGGGAGATGTAATTAATACCAAACAAAGTTAAACACGATAAGATAGTATAACGCGATGCTCGAAATTCGCGGCAACAATTTATGTACAGTGTGTTTGCCAAAATTCATTGCACAAAAAACCTCTTATGATGAAAATCTCTCCTAACCGAAGAAGTAATGAGGTGTAATCAGTTAAACAACAAGTACGATATATGAATGGATTTTTTTTTGGGTACATAGCATAGGATTATGATATTCATCTCGCTAAGTAACTTCGTATTGAAAAAGATAATAGAAAAAAAAAAACACAAGGAAACCCAATTCCGTAACTTAAAAGGATATATATCATCGGCCAGCATCTACCTTCAGTGCTGTTGTCTTTCAGTCCGCTGAGCTAAGCTAGTTTAATATTTATTTAAGATCTGTAAAATTAATTGGACATTGTTCGCACATTAGGCAGAATATTGTATAGAAAAGGGGATGGGAAACGCAGGGAACTGAAAAAGAAACTAAGTCCAAGCAGATATAGTGCTGAGATCAAGGGAATCGAACAGTAGTGTTTGTCCACTGAGTATGGATGCTGCAATACGAAAGTCTGTTAGGAGCAAGAGCCTGTGAGTCTTGCTTGTAAGTCTTTAAACTAGAGGCTTGGTAAGGTGAACTCTGGTTACCACACCACACTATTAAAAACTTTCCTTAGGCGAGTCTCTGATTATTTATTATTAGCATTACTACGGTCACTGTCGTAACTGTCAAACATTAAACGAGAAAATGGCTCAGGGTAGCAAAGCCATCTTCAATAGGGATTGTCTTTCCCGCTGTGGGGTTCCCAAATGACTGAAATGATTGCCGATGATTGTAAGCAAGCATTCTGATGAAGGCTTCACGCCAGGCTTCATGCCAGGACGTTAAACCCCTATAAGGAAACTGCTTTAGCTAGAGGAATAAACTCTACGACTAATATCTTAAGGCATTAGCACATAAAGTTATTAGCTGTATTGGAAACTCTATCGCATTTTTTCTTCTTCTATCTCTGCTCTTTTTAAAATTTTCAAGCTAGTAGAGGGTAGGCTTTAAGCGGTCCTTGTCAAAAACCCTTCGTTTATTATGAGAGAAACTCATCTTTGCGTTTCTTGCGGCGCTAACATATACTGCAACAATACTCCAAGCTTTCAATATGTGAAAGTACAATTGTTTTTTAAATTTCATACTAGAAATCGCTTGTTGTTATTAGTAGCAGGATTGCTTCTGCTTAGAACTATAGCTATACTTTGATTTAATTGAAACTTACCTTGCTGCGTTTTCACTTGCACTGGTGTGGACATTGGACCAGCTCCCATTGATGTATACGCTTGCACACGCACTGTATAAATAGCATGTGGGGTTAGTTCCGATATTGTAGTCAATTCACTGTTATCGACCATTTGCGAATCCCAAGATGCCTCTGGTTGATTAGGATTTGTCGTATAATACACTTTGTAGCCCTAGAATAAAATTTCATTTAAAAATATTTTAGTTCCTTGCTTACGCATTATCAAGAGTAAACAATGTTGCCTTGAGTAAGAAATATTTAACTAAATAAAGTCATATTTATCTCTATTAAAATCACCTTTAACATTTGCTAACATGCGTATGCATGTTTGCGTAACTTATAGAATTGCATGTCTGAGAAATCAAAGCCTTCACACATTTATAAGCACACGAGTGAAAGCTTATTAAATTAAAATTAACCCTTGCTTGCATGATTTTTCTTCTCTCGTAATTTTATGTTTGAGTGCATTGGGAGTGATTTCAGTAATTTCAGGTAAAATCGTACAAGGAATTCAACACATACGATCGAATTGCCACAAAAACTTCTCTTTCCAAGTGTTAATTACTTACCAAAAAATGAAAAGGAAAAGAGAATGATTGCGTAAACACATTACACATAGGAGGAATGATACCACTTAGGTGAAATAAACAGCCAGAAGCATAATTTGTTCGGTTTTGTTTTAACCCTTTACTAATCACATCTTATCTGCTTCTTCTTCTGCTTTTACTTGAATTTAGCAAATTAACAACAGATTATTCACTGTGCTGACTACGATAGGTTCAATTTCAACATCTTAAGAAAACTGGAGGCTAACCTGATTCTACCTGTACATATGTATATTTTTTGCCTGCTTTCACATCCGTCGGGCAACTATGATCAAGTTGTGGCCAATATTTTTCCCATGCTTTTCAATTTACATCTTATGCTTATATGCACCGGCATACGCTTGATATGAGAACCGCATGTTTAAAGATCGAAATTAGCGGTTTAATGAACGCTACATCAGGGGCAATATTTTTAAACTTTAGCACACGATTATCAAATTGTCAAAAGAAAAAAGCAAACCTAAGTAAAAGATAACGTAAGCTTAAAATCTAGTACGCTAGGCCATCGAAGGGTTAAACATTTGTGTCGGTGATAACGAAAGTAGCCTAAGTCGAATAATTTTCGTTTGCAAATATCTTAGAATTTTGGCCGAGACTGTGTTAAGTTCAGTGGTGGTCGACACTACAATTCCATTCTATTCAATTCTATATTTAATTTATTATATGATAATTTATTATTATTTTTATTAAAAATAAATTCGTTTTTCCATTTATGCGTTTCGACTTAGGTCACTTTTGATATCTTTGACTTGTTAGTTCATGTGTAAATGGGAAGCTTACAACAACTAATAGTTAGAAAGGTGTACACTGACTATACAAAGGAATGTATGTGCGAATGTTAACTTGGGTCTGTATTTGATTTTGTATTGAAATTTATCGTTTAAATAACGTTATTTGCATGGTTAGCAATCATAATGAATATTGTACTGCTTGGGTGCTGTTAGTTAGTTGTGTTCCTGTAAAGCTAGACAAATGCTTGTTTGCTGCTGCGTATACAAAGCAGCGAAGGCTTCTTTCAAAAAGCAAGTTGTTGTTGTTAATGTTGTTATTGTTGTTATTGTTGTTTATTATGGCTTAATCTCAGCATGTGCTAAAATGTTTTGAGGGTAAAGGTTTTCAATAAACTTTGAATATAGAGAATGAAAGAAAGACATACTTATGCAAACAAGCATAAACAAACACACCTATGTATATTAATTTAGAATTTATATTCAGGCAGACAATGAATATCAAAGTATGTATGTATGTATGTATGTTACGGCATTGGTAATTAAATTAAAGGCAAGCATCCATTCTAAGCAGCAACACCTTTCACCGTATTTGTACAGCTATTTATGTATAAGGGATTCACTTCAACGTAAAGTATAAAACAATTTGCTTATACAACTAACTAACCCAATCATTTACACCAACAAAAAAAAGTTACGATAAATAAGAAAACATGAGAAACAAACAAAAACGAGAAACGAGAAACGAGAGAACCACAGAAAAAGAGAGAGAGAGAGAGAGAGAGAGAGAGGGAGAGAGAGAAGGAATGATATAAGAGTAATCTCTGTATTTTAAACAATTGTCTGTTTATTAGATTTGAATATTGTTTAAAGACCGTGTCGTAAACACAAAACTTCAATTTAATTAAAGTAATGAATTGCTTTTGAGAACATCTCTCACATAAATCTATAGACAAAGCATTGTGCTCTCGGCCTTTACAAATCGTATCTACATAAATTGTGTCAGTAGATAACTTAGTCGAAGCCTAAATTTGCTTTCGAATAGATTTAAAGAAGGATTATAGGAAATGAAATAAATTTCAAGGGAGACAATAAAAAATTTGTAAGAGCTTAGAAAAATTAATTGAAAACACAATGGAATGAAAATATAAATAAAAAACTTAATTTTTCCTTAACTAAATATTAAACATAACTTAGTTCACAAGTTAGAGAGGTTCTCTTAATCGACAAACTTTATTTCTTTCGTACGTATAATTTTGCAAGGGCGTAGGCGGCAGTGTGAATTTTGCGATTTTGACAAATACCAATAATTCGATTAAAAAATTTCACGCTTTGAAAGTGTTTTGTTTTCTCGTTGTTAGACTGCAATTTTGCTTAAAACAGTGACTTGGGTGGATATCTGTTGTCTGATGTTTAATATTCAAGAAACTTGAATTATAGGACACACACGATATTCATGGATCATGATTGCAATATTTATTATCTCATTTTTTATCATCATATCCTACATCGCTTGATCTGTTGGGGCGTATTGAATGTTTGCGGATCTATACAACACTTGGAAGGATTTAAGTTAGCCCCACCTCATACGCTAATATGCTAATCGATTCAAAATTATATTGTATAGATAATCCAGATTTGTTGATATATGTGCTTTTGCTAAACTATGATTTATAGGGGAGTAAAATAAAAAAAATCAATTAAATAAATATTAAGATTAAAAAATTGTAGGAAGCGAGCGCATATAAAAGAAGTTAAACCTTTAACTATCAACAAATATCTAAAAAATAGACCCCTACGTGCTGCGCTCCAAATTTGGTGAGGTTAATTTTATGCCAAGCGAAAATAGTGAACGAATTTTTATCAAGAAGTATTGAAAAATTAGAATATGTTTCTTTTAACGACTTATCACAATAAGGAGAGTGGTTAAAAACGTGGACCGGTTCCGAACATTTTCAACAGCACTTGTTCTCGTACCAAACTTCATCAAAATATATCAAAAATTGCGAAAGGTAAGCAGGAGACAAAAATACATAGGTAAACGTCAGGCGGACAGACAAGCTTAGATTCTTGATCGCTATAATAAAAGATGGGCCTTCTCTTCTGGGTGTTATAATCGACTGCACAAACTTAATATATACCCTGTTCCCCAAGTGATGTAGGGTATAAGCACTTTACAGAAATTTTCGCAATTCCGCTTTTTATATCCTACAGGATTTGCGCTGCAAGGGTATATTAAGTTTTAAGATTTTTCTCTTATAAGATCCTCAAGCGTCAATTTTTAAGAAATTTTCATAAAATTTACTACATCGATATGTTTTGGCCCAAGGGCGAACGCTATTAAAAATTGTTTGAATGGCGCCACTTATTCGACCAACTTCCATATAAGGCCTTATCTTGAAGGTACAGTTAAATGAATAAATGCATAAGAAGTGCTGTAGAGTGATCCGTAATACGATTCAGGTGATATGATGTGTGATTGTTTGTTTAGAGCGCGTTCGTTTCAAGTGTTTAAACGATTACTTTCCCAAAGATCGCAAAATTAAGCTTAAATCGTTTTTTTTTATGCTTACGCTTTACAGTTTTTCAAAAATAAATTATGCACGTATTCGGCAGAATTATGACAATTCTTAAACTAATTGCTTTTAATTAGAACAATTTGTTGCGGTTAATTACAATTCAATTACGGCCATTTAATTATACATTATGCGATATTAGTAGCTCGTGTATTAAATTTGACAAATGTGTACCGTTTTGATGTATTGTGTGTCAGTCTTGGAATTTCATTCCACGGTTTCAATCGTTGTAAAATATTATTAAACACTCGCAGAGCTTTTAATTTCACTATAACTTCTTCTAATTTCAATAAAACGTACCAGTATATATATATATATGATAATGACTTATAGATGAGTTATAAATGGAGACTTATAAAGTAGCTGATGATTATGTTAATATTAAATTTTCAATATTCGCTCGAAAAGCTTAAACAAGCTGTAGTAAGATGAGCAGTCGAATGTATATTAATGATGGAAATTCATCAGACAGAAAATTCATGGTAGTGAACCGATTATAGTTTCCTAGCTTCCTAGCTTGCTCTAACCTGAGTATCGGTATCTAGCTTCAGTTACCTTTCTGATGTACTTTTTCCGTCACTTATAGGATTATGGTCAAAATCTTATCCTTACGCAAACATGAGGCTGGTTCAAGTTTGACGTACCCGGCCTGTTGACGTCACTGTTCTAGTCGGAACAACAAGAGCGGCCAAGTATGAATTTGAAGCTGCGTTCTATCAGAAATACGTATGATTTAAAATATACTTGATATTTATTAGATGTTGTTTCAATATCGTAATCATTCTCAAGTTACACCAAATACCATTGCATCGAAAAGTCTGCGTCCGTATATCAGATCATTTACATGTTCTGCTTGTCTGCTTATTCCTCCGAGTTTCCTTTGTTCACCATTATGTTTGTGCACAAATTTGTCGGCCCCTCTGCATGACTTGTCGCCAATTATAATCGCATGTCTGTACGTTCGAGTGGTGTCAAGAAAGCTTGAACAAACGAAATTGAGCAGCAACACTTTGTTGCGGCTACTATTGGTAACAATGTGAAATCTTAAAAGGGTAGTAATGACAATAAGTGACAAACTATTCGACACTTGCCTAAAAGAACTATTTTTACTTGAATTCTCTTATTTCGAATAAAATTCGATTTCTCTTATTGTTTTTCTAAATAAAACCAAATAAAATATTTGCACAACTTGCTCGTGTAAGTCTCTGAACATTACCTCTTAACTTACCTAAAACAAAAACCTATATAGTAAATTTTATATGAATTATTGTAGATTTAGGTTTTAAGTAAATATAAACAAAACCTTTAATTTCAATCAATTCAATAAATATTAACTTAATATGAAATTTCTTTTAAAAAACAAAACAAGAAAAAATAAAAAAGCCTTGACCCCAAGCAGAGAAACGATCATTGTTATCATTATGTATACTTACGGTCACTTGTCCATTCGGGGTTTCGGGTGGTTCCCATGTTATGACCATAGTCGAGGAGCTTAAAGGGCGTACTTGTACATTACGGGGGGCACTTTCCATTTCTGGAAAATGTTTAGAAAAGTAAAGAAAGAAATTCATTTCAATCGAATTTTTTTTTATTTATATATTTATTTTTTATTTTTTTTTTTTTTTTAATATCATTGCTTTACTTGACCCAGTTTCAACAAAAATGTTCATTGTATGATTTTATATTTACTTTATTTTATTATTTTTTTTTTGGAAAAGTTTAAAATATTTTTACCAAAAATTGAACACAATACATAGATGTGTTTAACGAAAAATATCAGAAAGAAAAAAAAAAAAAAAAAAAAAAGAAAAAGTTTTATAATTTCCTTGTAATTGAAATCTCAACTCTTGGCTTTTGAGAGTAAACTATTGAAAACTTTTATAACAATTTCAGTTTATTAATAATAATAATTTAAATAATGATGCCAACAAAAACTCAAGTTAAGGCAAAATCCAATACCCGATCAACGAGTTTAATACTTAAATTTCCACTGAACTCAAACTCAAACTATAGCAAACACAAGAGCCCCGGAGAGTGCATAAGAAGACGTAGTAAAAGCAATACAACTTTAGAAAAAAAAAAAAAAAGAAGAAGAAGTAGAAAAAAAAAGCAACTTCAATTAATTGCTAATTAAAAGTGAAGCATTGATTTTTAAAGGATTACTTATATACTGTGCACTCGTCTAAGGACTCTGCGCGGAAGCAATTAACCACAACAACTACTGCAATCTAATCAATTGCTGTTATAAGATTCTAGGAAAAGCAACTGGACCATTATTAAAAGTAATAAACAAGGCTACCATCACGAGAACGAAAGAAATTAGGGAAAGCAAGAAAAATCAAATACATTATAATCGGGTTAAAGCGGATTTTTCAGTAACAATAACCGTTTGCTTTTGCCTTCGGTTTTTTTGTTTTTTTTTCTTGCCTTTTCGTTTACAAAGTATAACATATAAACATACATAAATCTAGCAAAACCTATTCTATTCTAAACTTTGATTGCATTCGCCAACGTATTAGTTATCATCAACTTATTACTTATGTAAAGCATATTAATATGCATGGCGAGAAGAGCGAAAGACTTAATGCAATCCACCCGAATATATCTCAAGAGTAATAAGACAGTCAAAAAGCTTAACTAAACATTTAATGGAAATCTTATGCTACAGTTTAATTAGTTATCCTCTTTCCACAATTATTCAGCTTGCATTAGAATTATGAGTGAAATTAACAGCTTTTAAGAGTCACGTAGATAAATCGGATGCAATTAAAATCAATTTTCTCGGTTGGCATAAATTTTCAAATTTTTCAAATTTTCAATTGTCTTCTTGTGACACTTGATGGCGACGTACGTATAAAACGCAAAGATGCGAGAAGAAGAGGTAATGAGCATGACCGTTGACGCTACTCACTGAAATATAAATAATCAATAGCGCTCTCGATGCGCTTTTCAAGACAGTCAAAGAACAAATGCATGTGCTTATACGAAATAATACGAATATGTGTCGTCATGACACATATAGAAGAATTATAGACGGATAAGTTATTTCTTCATTTTAAAATAATTTCTGGTTATAAGACGTCTCTAAATATCTACAAGTGATTGCGATATTTTTTGTTACGCCTTAGCAACGTGTGCGGCGAATTTATTTTAAATTAACACATTTTCGAGTCAACGGAAACCAATTTTCTAATATATATATATATATAGAATCCGTAAAAAAAACTGCCGACTAGATTTTCTTCGATTTTTTAAAACATTAAGGCAAAGTAGAGCCGATAACCTGTGCTGCAAGTGCTCAATTTGTTTTTTTTAGTCTAAGAATCTATTTCATTAGTCTAAAATTATAATAATAATAATAATAAGAAGGCAAAGTAACGTAAAAAAGTTTGATATGAAAAGTTATTGAAAAAGATGTATCATCATTTTTTCAAAATATGCCTTGTTGTGACATTTGAAATGTTAGCTAGAGAGTGATTGACTATCATACACAAAAATATTTACAAGCTTTTATAGTAAAATTAGTCGCCAAATAGAATGTGGAAGAATTGTGCGGAGTTCACCTTATAATACACAAAGTCATTACGAAGTTTACAGATTGCATCTTTACTATCTTCCAAGGCACGTCTGTGGTGATGTGCCTATGCACACATCAAAGCCAAGTACAGCTAAGGACCACTAAGGTGCATCCTTTAAATTCGTTTAAAACAAACAAAAGATTGCCTTCATTACTAGTATAAGTCTTGCATCATCTAAAGTAAATAGCAAACCGGGTAGTGATTTGGAATTCAGAGTTAAGTACACATCCTCTGTTGAAGAAAAAAACCAATCTCTGCCTTTTTGTGGCATTAACGCAATCGTCTCGCTGCCAAATTCTTTGTACAAATTAGTTTAATACCAATCAAGGAGTTCTGCAGGGACCTGAATGAACGGCAGACTAGCGATGGGAGGTCGCACTAAAATGTTTCAACAACATATGTTATATTTTTTGTTGGGTTTAAAAACACAAAGCTTTACAATGCCTTCCAATTCCGACCAAAGACACGGGCTAAACTTTATAAAGTTCGCTTTAGTAAGTTTCTCATCATTTGTTTTCATATTATTGTCGTATTCATCTCTTACCAGTTATCGTTTCTGAAATGTGTCGAACTTTTTATAGTGTGCAGAGATTTCTATGTCGAATCGATTTTGACCCAGGTACATGTGAAGTCTTCTTATATATACTCCTTTCTCGTAGACATTTCGATCTCAGGCAGGTCGAACATCACTTGTCATTTGTATAGATGCTCGCCTATTGCTAGTAGTGTGTAAGGTATATCGAATATTGTTTAGCGAACTGGTTTATCAAATTTCATTTACTTATCGTATAGGCGATGACCAGCGTTTTTGCAGACTGATTTAATGCAAAATTCGCTTATCTTCGCTATATCTGATAAGAGGTGTGCTATTTAATATGTACATACTAGGTCTGAAGGCACGATATCCACCCAAAGTCCGCGTTAGCACTATTCAGTTTGCTGCAAGTCGTAAATAATGTAAGCCAAATATATTTGGGTAACAAATCTATTCGTGTTACGAGATTGAACTCTGTCGAAAAGTTATAGGACAATCACACATTTATATTTATATCTAGATAGAGATCTATTAATCAAAAATAAAACCGATCCCTAGTATTATGAGAACTTCTTTATAAAAGCGCCAAGTTGCAGAGATCAGCGGGATTCTGAATTGACCTGCTATCTTGATGTTCACTTATTCGACCATAGAAATGTCTATCTGTTTTTGAAACAAATAAATCGAGAAAATGAAAACTAGTAGATATACTGGGGTTTGTAAAACTGCAGATGATGGTCAGGGAAGGACTTGAATACGATAAGAAGTGGAACGCAAGAAATTACCTTAAAGTTTAGTTAATGGCTGGAGGTTAATAGCTAGAGTTTAATCGGCTGACTGTCACGGCGACGACGTCGACAACGAATCGACTTTCGAAATTAATATGAAATCATGGGTTTTTCAAGTGCTTCAGCAGCAAATAGTATCCGAGATTTTAGTCTTTTAAACTACTTACAGTCATTTTTAATTCTTAACAATGTAAAGTTCGGAAATCTAATGTCCTCAGCAGTAAAAACGGTGGACTACCATTTGGTTCGAGCTCTGTGTAAATTCTCTTAACATTTTAGAGCTATTGGGCGAGTGCGTACTCGATTCGAGGAGCCTTTTCGATAATACCGTTTTGGGCCGACCTCTGTCAATTCGCAAAGAATTTATTACTCGACATGTGTATAACGGAATACTCGTGATATCTTTGCCTTGTGAATAATAATATAAATGCAAAAAAAAAAAAAAAAGGAAAAAGAAGAAAACCTAAACATTCAAATAAGTAAAGTAATAATCCGACCAAGTTATTTTTAATTCGTTAAAATATAAAACATTAAAATATATAAGCATAAGAAGCAAATGCATTTAACTTGACTTTAAAAAACATACAAATAAATATATAATTTAACTTCACGAGAAGTAGTGGATTCTGCCATTGCCTCGCTACTTCAGGCATGTTCGTATCAAAAACCAAGTACAGGCAAAAATCAAGCAAACATCCCAAGGACGATGCCAAAGGGCGGGAGTAAGTTCGCTTTCAGCTTTTCCTTCAATATTGTATTCCTTATAAAATAAAATGTTCATATTTCAAAAATGTGTGCCTTTATGTCCATTGCATCGTTTTGGAACTTATGGTCTCATTCAATATAATAATTGGACTGCCACGACTGAATATAACACTAGATGGAATCATCGAAAGTAGTTATGTGGTTTTCTCAATACTTTGGAATTTTCGTCATTAACATGAGTATGAGGTCATGAAAAACAAGCATATCTTACCGATAGCAGTAAACTCAGTGATCAATACAGTGGGTCGATAGCCGACTGTTATAAGTCTAAAACATGCGATCGGGGTTGCTCGGCTTTTGATTTCAAACGAAGCCTATGGAAATCATTTCGCTCAGCTTTTCGCCGAAAAAACCCAAAAGACGACTAGGGATAGCATAGTGCTCTAAATACCGGAAGGCTATCAATCAAAATAGTATAAGTTTAGTTTAATGGATAAATTTTGTCATGATATTTTTTTTTTAATGTGCAGTTTATGAATTTTTCTTATTGGGAATCGCTTCATTTCATTTAAATTCAAATACAGGCTTAAATTGCTTTTTAAACAGTCTCGTGGTAAAATGGCCTATACAGGAACTTGAGTTATTTAAACTTGTACATGATTCGTTTTGCCTGTAATGTGATATATAGGCTGATCAACGCAATAAGTTGACGCTGGCTGAACGTATTGACATTTAACAAACGGTAAAGTAAAAACCACAAACTACTACAGCAAGCCACAGAGAATAGGAAAACAAGCAGTCAATAAGACCAACTTAACCGAACCCCCGAACTTATACACACGTATATAGAGCATCGATATGAAATTTACTGTACACTGTGTATGTTCGCAATATATACTATATATAAGCATGGTTGGTTGAATAGCAT